GCTCTGTTAGGGGTGCATTTTCTCTCTAATGAGCAAGTGCTATCATATGTATTACTCTTTAAAAATATATGGGCAGGGAACCAGCAGTTAGCGTAATGGCTATGTCGCTGGACTCCCACGTAGTCGACCGCGGTTCACGTCCCAGACCTGGTGGCTTGGAACTCACGCCAGGCACATGTGCGTGCGTGCCCAGGATCCTGAGAGGAGAATGGAGGAAAAGGGATTGCGGCGTGACCATCCCCCCGGGGGGTGATTTCTCGCTTTCTGTCTCTCTGTCTACTCTTCCTCCCCAACACACATCTTCTTGTGTCTCTGGTGTAAACACCACCATATTATTGCACCCCCATTTAATATGTAGGATTAATTGTGTATGTGGCCAAAGTCAGCAGACTTAAAATCTATTTATGAGTAAAGTTTAAAATTATTCCCTGATAACAAGTCCATCAGCATTCTTAGTGATTTGGTAAAGACCATTTAAATCAGCCCAGTTTCTCGCAATATAAAATCACAAAAACCTTTTAAAATAAGATTTATTTAATTTAATTCATTTATTATTATTTTTAAAATTTGACCAGAGAGAGAAAGGGTAAGTGAAAAAGCAAACTGCTGGGAATGGGACTTAAACTGTGGTCAGCCATGTGGGAGTCCAGCATCTTTACCACCAAACCACCTGCCAGTCCCACAAAAACTTTTAAGATGTCTGTTTCTTCTCAATAAGAATTAAGAGCTGTCCATTCTCTAGTTTGACTTTCAAACCATGAAAGTCCTTGGAAAACTGTATTAAGAGTTCTAAATCATTGCATATTCCTGTCTTCTAGGATTTTTCTCTGATCAAGTGGTTTAGGAAACAGAGTCCAAGGATGAATGTCCACCGTGGCGGTGATGGTGACAGATTATTGCGGCAAGAGGCCAGCTGCCTAGTGGATGATACTTCAGCTGCAGCCCAAGAAAAAGAAACACATAGTCTGACTTCCTCTGGTCTTCATAATCTTACTTACCCTCTAGGTCCTAGGACTGAAGGTATAGTGATAGCTCTTGACTTAATTTGGTAGATCCTTACTGACACTTGAACATTTACTCTACCTAAAATACATGAGCCTTCTTAATGTAAATATATTATCCATTAATTGGCTTAGCTTGTATATCATAATTATGTAAAGTTGACCTTCACAGAAAATCTCCATGTTTTTAATCAGTTTAGTGCATCTAACTTGAAAATGTTGTTAAGAAAATTAGCCTGGGATCAGCAGATGGCATAGCAGTTACATCACTGGACTCCCACATGGCTGACTGTGGTTTGAGTCCTGGACCCAGTGACTTCAAAATGACACCAAGCACACATGCATGCGTGCCCAAGATCCCAGGAAGAGAATGGAGGAGAAGGGATTGTGGTGTGGCCATCCCTCCTGGGGGGGTGATAATCTCACTTTCCCTCTCACTGTGTCTGACTCCCTCTCTCTCCAGCAAGCGCACGTACCCTAAGGCAAAACAAAGCAAAACAAAATTAGCCACATGGGGCCAGTAGCTGGTTGAGGCGCTGGACTCCCAAATGGCCAACTGCTGTCTGAGTCCCAGACCTGTTGGCTTGCGTGCGTGTGCTCGCTCACTCTCTTGCGCGCGCTCTCTCTCTCTCACTGGTAAGCACACATGCCCTATAGTAAATTAAAAATATCAGGTTGTCAGAAAAGTCATGATGCATTTTTGCATAGAAAAAAATGCATCATGACTTTTCCAGCAATGCAGTAATAATAATTAATCCTTAAAAAAAACTCAGCCACAGTTTGTACTCCAGAAGACAGATTCAGACTCTGGCTCTGCTACTTGTTACTGGTAACTATGGTTGAGATCCTAAATTTTTCTAAGCCCTCCTTTTGTAATCTAGAAAACAGAGATATTAATGTTCTTCTTACCCCACAAAGCTCCTGATAAACGCTTAGGTTCTTTTTAACTTTTTATAGAAATAATAGCAACAATAAGAGCAACTACCTTTAAAAAAAAAAAAAAGAATTATTTATTTATTTCCTTTTTTTTTTTTTTTTTTCTTTATTTGACAAGACAGAGAGAAAAGGAAAGTGAGAAAGCAAGCCACCAGGTCCGGGACTTGAACCATGGTTGGCCATGTGGGAATCCAGCGCCCTTATCCACCACACCACCTGCTGGCCCCAGTAATAGCAACTACCTTTTAAAATATTCTTTTCATTGCCAGAGTTGCATGTACTCACCAGAGAGAGAGAGAACATGCACACACACACAAGCACACCCTCACAATGGGGTATGGTTACACCACAATCCTATTTCCTCCATTTCTCTATCCCAAAGAATCCTCAGGCAATCCTTTCATATTTACTAAGTTCCCCCCACACACACCCATAGGGTGTGTGCACTCGACTGAGAAAGGGAGGGAGAGGGAGAAAGTACCCCTCAGTGGGGCAAGTTTACGCCGCAGTCCCATCTCTCCACCTCACCCTCCTTTTGGGATTTTGGGTACTCATGCTTGTGTGCCCAGCATGTTTCTCATGCTGATAAACCTGGGACTCTAACCACTTACTCAGCCATGTGGGCTCTAGCTGCCTTAGCTACCATGCCAATGGGCTGACCCAAGGGTATTAATACATTTTTAAGTCCTTTGATTATTTCAGTTCATAAAACAACTCTGTAAGGTAGGTAGTGAACATTATTATCCTCATTTTACAGATGATAGAACAGGTTTAGAAAAAATAAGTTGCTTAAAGGAAATGGCTTTTCACTGCTATTACTATAAAAGCGGAATTCTGGGAACCAGCAGTTAGCGTAATGGCTATGTCGCTAGATTCCCACGTAGTCAACCGCGGTTTGCATCTCGGACCCGGTGGCTTAGAACTCACGCCGGGCGCGTGTGCCTGCGTGCCCAAGATCCCGAGAGGACAATGGAGGAGAAGGGATTGCGGCGTGACCATCCCCCCTGGGGGATGATTTCTCGCTTTCTGTCTCTATGTCTCTCTCTGTCTGTCTGGCGAGCGCACGCGCCCTATAGCACAAACCTCTCAAAAAAAAAAAAAAAAGGAAAAAAAAATAGCGGAATTCCATGAATCAGTCTTAATGCTCTTTGCCCTAGAATTTTTCTGCTGTAAATAAGACCTGCTTGTTTGAAAAATAGCAGAGATGATCGGATTCTCCTATACATAGTGAAAATGCATTTTTCCGTGAGTTTCTAGGAAAAGTGATGTATTAGTGACTCAATTATCTTTTTCTGAAAAAAATTAATTTTTTAAACAATTTTGAGGAATGTGAAAATGCAGTTTTGGTGCATAGCAGTAGATTCCTTAAAACATGGAAAATGTGGGACCAGCAGTTAGCGTAAATGGCTGTGTCGTTGGACTCCCACATAGTCGACTACAGTTCGCGTCCCGGACCTGGTGGCTTAAAACTCACGCTGGGCGTGTGTGTGTGCGTGCCCAAGATCCCGAGAGGAGAATGGAGGAGAAGGGATTGCAGTGTGGCCATTCCCCCTGGGGGGTGATTTCTTGCTTTCTGTCTCTATGTCTCTCTCTGTCTGGCGAGCACACATGCCCTATAGCAAAAACCTCTCCCCCCAAAAAAAAGAAAAAGAAAAGAAAATATGGAAAATGTGAGTATTATTTAGAGATTGAAATGAAAACAGAAGTAAAACGTGATTGCCTCTGTGAACTGACAATAGCTGAGTTATATGAGTGGCAAGGGGCTACTTGGTCACCACATAAATTCTTATCATTTAATTTTTGAAAACCATGTATATAATTTATTTTGACTTTTTAAAATCACTGTATTTTAAAGTGTGGGCGTGCTTCGCCTTCATCCGCCTACCCACACCCCCCCTCACATACATGGAAGAATATTCAGGGAGGGCCAGGCGGTAGTGTGGTGGTAATACCACTGGACTCCCATGGGGGCACGTCCTGCATTCATATTCTGGGGCGTCCTTGAACTTGCTGGGTATGGCATTCTTGCTGTGGTTCAGGAGGCTGGCTGGAGGTGGATTATGGTGTAAAGACCATGTTGGGCTGTCAAGTAGCCTGGTATTTGGGATTCTCAATTCCTACATGACTGACCGCACTTTGAGTCTCAGACCAGGCAGCTTACTTTTCCACTTTCCCTTTGTCTCTCTTGTCTGGTTAAATTTAAAAAAAAAATAATAACAGATTAAAAAATTAAAATAATATTTAAAAAATAATATTTAAAAAAGACCATGTTTCTCTCTCTCTCTTAGAATAAATAAACTACAAATAAAATTAAAATATATATATTAAAAAGTATTAACACTCGGGACCAGCAGTTAGCGTAATGGC